CATCCACGTTTTGCAGCTCCAACCGTCGGAAATTGCACCTCTTTGTACTTTTTAGTACTTGTGGCAGATGCATGCCACCTGCCCGTCACTGGTTGGTGCACATGAGAGCAGTGTTGATGAGAATTCAGGATTTTCAATTAAGAATTCTTCAGATCATGTCTTGATAGATTTCTATTAGTCTCAAGTCAAAATAGAATATCAGGTTCATGTGGACTCTCCATAATGCTCTAAAATGTGAATCAATTGCAAACGCCGGGCTCTTATCCACGATCACTGAAACCACAATAGAACTTGCAATATGTTACAACAATTCCAGTTGATCTTGCAGGAAGAAGCCTCTACATTTGAGACACCCTATCTGAGACACTTGAGGAGACACCCTATCTGAGACACTCCCTCATTTGAGACACTTCTCTTAGCTATGCATTTCTCTCATTCGACAAGATTCGATAAGATTGACGGTACTTAAGACCCTCACTAAGTTCAAAAGACGTCGTAGTTTATGATGGCACACCTTGGACCTGTCGGCTGCTTCAAGCTTGAACCTTGTGCATATTCACATATTGTTAACCGCAGCAGCACTGTCCACAAGGTCTCAATCGAGTGACTTGTAACTAGTCTTCTAAGAAACAGTGTGATGCATTCGGCGTGGATGACTGAAATTCCACTCACATCAACGGAAAATGGCTCACACTTTCTTCTGTGTTGTTCATTTTGGTGACATGAGTGAGTATGAAATGTGTGTATCCCTCTTCTGCAAAATTATTAATGAGGAGGTTAGACGTGAAATCAACATGCAAATCTTTCAAACTCTGTTGGTAAGCTGGACTACATATTTCCACTCTTGATAATCCTGCTACTTTCTTGGCAATGCATTGGCCATCTCCTTCAGGATTCTTGAGATTGACCAGTTGGCAGTTGATACTAGTGACGTATAGCTTTCGACATTGCAAGTTGGTGAAACATGTAAACAATATATATGATTGTGCTTAAAAGGATGTGAATTGTGAGGAAGGGTGGCTAGATATATATCATGCCAATTAGAACCTGTTGCCATGCAATACAGTCAATTGCATGTTATACAATGTTTACATCGCTTCGTGTGGGTGATTTTGGGAAGATACTGTGTCAGTAGCAAGTTTTGGGTTTGAGCAAGACCAAGTCCATTTTCGTCAAGAAAACACATTTCCTTCCATATATGCAACTTAATATATGCAACTGAAATTTAGACCAGATATACTTATAAATATAGATAATAAAAATGTTTATGAAAAGTAATGTTAAGCCATTTAGGTGGAAGGAGTCATGACAACACATTTTTAATACAGATTTATGAAAAATATTTATATAACAACGGTTGACTTACAAGTCTTATGTCTATTGCTTGAGTCTTGTTAGGATGACCTTCTTAAAGTATTGATACAAACATTATGAATTCTGTTGAACATGTGGTAGGCATGTGACTTCTTGACTATCAATAGAAAATTTTTGTGCTTGATAATCAACATGTCAAAGATTTTTGCATAATCTTTTCTGAATTTTATCTCCTCATTCCAAGAATCTAGACAGAAGTAAATTATCAATAGACGGAAAATGTATTCTTGGAATGTCAAAAGAATCATAAGACTTTATCTTACGCTAACTTGTCCATGATGTGATTCATGTAAGTTCAATCTTTTAAGGCATATGGATCTCGCATATCATAAACTCTCCTCTACTAATGCTTCTTGATCTATCTACCTACTTTGCACACTTCCACCTTTCTTTCATTCATAAAATCCTTGATAGAATTCAGTAAGAAAAAAATGAATTTGAATCATGGTATCATCTAATCATGATACTTTCAAGATGTGACTCAAGATTTGGCGTAAAGATATCAAGATTTGCTAACAGGAAACTCTTACAGCTATGTTATTCCTTGATTTCTAATGGAAACTGGATGCATCTTTCAGATATATCCAATACATTTGAATAATATTATATTTATGCGGATACCAAATATTTTCTCCTTGAAGGTATATACTAAAAGCTAAAATTTTCGCTTTAACTAACAAAAGACTGAGTGTACTACATAATATCTTGATGTTCACAATCCTGGATATATATAACAGATGTAAATGTAACTTATGTCCAACATGGGAAATTCCAAGTTCCATCAGTGTTAGTAAAGAGTAATCCCTACCTGGATTCCCTGACCAGACTGGCTAAATTTCAAAGACCACCTGTTTGACACATATGGAGATTCAGCGGAGCCGCATTCATATCTACATGCTCATTGACAGGAAACTGAGAGGTGTCTCAGTTGATATATATATATATATATATATATATAAAACAGATGTAAATGTATATTATGTCTTTGATAGATCTGAGAATCTTTGGAATCAATTGGGGTTGTCATTGATCTTGCTTTAACACTTGTGTGTGGTTATGGATCTTGGCTTGGCTTGATCATGCATTTGAGGCTATTTGATTCGCGTTAATGACTTCTTATTAGATCTATGAAGCTCTGACTTGGTTTAGTTCATATATACATAGCTATACAATGTGTCATTAGAGATATATTTTATTTTTTTGACAAAAATGGATGAAAGTTTTGTTTCGGAAAATGTTGGTATGTCCTACACTACACCTAGATTAGATTATGCCTACATTGGTCAGGATGAAAGAAGTTATCATTATGTATATTGTGGTTCTAGGTATTGCAAGAAAAATTGCTCTTAGAAGAATGAAAAGTCATCCTCTTCGTTGAATGACCATTGGAGTAGCGTCAACCAAGATCTCCAAGTGTAATATTATGCAGAAAATTTGCCCCTGTGTAATTTCAGCTCAAATTTATGTGGAGATCTAAGCGCCAACTCGTGCGTGTTCATAAGAGAATGCACTAGAGACCACTATACTAGTGACAATTGTTACACTCTGTTTATAGTATGTTTGTCGATGTTTGTGTATTGTTTTACATAGAGCACTAGGCCATGCTGTCCACATGAGAAGAATCTCTTCAGGTCATGATTTTTTAAATAATACTCTAGTGTGTGTGGAAGGTTTAACTCACACTGTCAAGATATCTTAGACAGACTATGACATATTTTACTAATATGTCATAGTCTGTGATTCATTGTGATGCTATTGTGGGCTACACACCTCTTACCCTTCTGGTATCATACGGCACTACTTGGTAGGATCTTCCATCCTTTCCCATACAGTACTTGGTTCCACATTCACCATGAAGACGAGTTGACCTTGCTTTGGACTACAGTTGTTAGTCTTATTCCTCGGTCACCTCCGTTTTACTACGGAACTCTGTTCTTAATGTAAATAATTAAATAAATATGCGTATAACAACAGAGTTTCCATACGAACGAATGAGAGATAATGGTGCCTGCCTCGTTGAGCATTGGCCTGCCGTGCGCGTGGAGCCCATTGACTCGTACCACAGTTTTTCAGACCTGACCAGATGCGGCGCACGAATCTACGTGGTCGACGGCTCCTCTACTTTGTTCTTCCTTTTGAAGGATTTTGCAACTGAGAATTCACAAAAGGTGCTTAATTAATTCCAGGTGATATCTCGACCTATACCTTTAGGCAAATTGGAGACATAGACCTCTTCCCATTTCCCAAAATTCGGTGAGCTAAAGCACTGGCTCATTATTGACCTCAGTCAAATCCATTTGTTATGTTGGACTTGCTGCTCCATGCCTTTTCCTTTAACGGGATTGAACCGTGCTTGACATAATCAAAACTCGCATATTGAATTGATAAATGTGGTACATCATACCTTGCCAAGCTCTTTATGTGGACCATTTTGACAAATCTTATCTTCTTCAGTGGAAGCAAAGCCGCTAGTGCCTATACATTTTAAAATTTCAATAATCATAGAGTTGGCGTTATGTACATACAACTTTAAGTTTATATTGTTCTTACTATATGTTCTGCCTTTTAAACACTTCTCTTGGAATGAGAAACTCGATATGTCATATGATGGTTTTAAATTTGTTATTCCCCTTAATATATGACCAGTTTATTTGTGATAATGTTGTGTATACAGACACAAATAAATAAGTCTACCATCTTTTAATGATTTGCTTTCTCATGTACATTTAAAGCCTTTTATATTGAAGACTCGGAGTCCCGTTATTTGAGCTGTACATATAAATTCTAATATATACGAGAATATTTAGAATTATTATTAAGCTTCTAGAAATCTACTTGAGACGTGTTTGGGTACAATTTATATTCTTCACCCAAGTACACCTTGGGTTGGTATCCATATCACTGTTGCTGTGAAAATGTTTCCAACAATTTATCGTTATATCGAATTGTGTTGTAATCTAAAAAGGTCACCTGTATTTTATAAGTAGTGAAAGTCTCACGAGAAGATGATATAAATTAAAAATAATCAAAATATCTATAGATATCTCATAGATTGATCAAGAGAGAAATTTTATCAATTTGGTAATCTTTGAGTGTGTTTTTATTACGATCAAAATATTAAAAACTCAATACCTCAACGTGATGCATGAAAATCTCGGCGTTGACCATATTGGAAAATTTAACTGCCAGGTTAGGCCAATTGAGCATCTCGGTGCTCACACGGGAAATCAACCGAAAGGGCTCAAATAGCGGTCACAAATATAGGTGTCAATCTTAATGACATCATGGTGATGCATTGAATTTTGTCTTGAAATAACGCAACTATGTCAATACAAACTTTCAAGTTTCTTTGTTTGTATATAACGCATTTTGAAACTATAAATATATATATTTCTTTGTTTATATTTCGCCTGTCTGCGAATACATTGAAAATTATCTCAAATTCACATATTGATAAGAATATACATTAAACCCCATGAAAAAAAAATCGAGAAAAAACTAATGTATATATAATATACTCAGAAATATCGCATATAATAAAGTCAAGTTTTGTTTCGTTTATAACTATTATTTTCAACATTGTAATACTCATATCTAAAGTTGGAAACATTCCTAATTGACTTGTTCGGTAGATCTTTTAGTAAGACAACCACTTGTAAATTGTTGCAGACTAATCTGAATCTTTTGGATTTTGTTCCTAGAGATTCATCCGTCGAATATGTTTAAGAAGAAACATTGCAGCTCCCTGGCACACATGCAAGCACTACTTGGTCTACCGCTGAGCATATGGAAGGACGATTCCTCACAGAAATAATCTCAAACGCCAAAAAATTCATAAGAAACGAAATCATCCACTTTTGATCGAGAAACGAAAAGCCTTCGATCGCCAAAGAAACAGCGAATTGAAATCCATGGGAGATCCGTCGGAATGTTGAATGTGCGCTCGGACCATCGGTTGGACTCGAAAGCTCGACGGGAGGTTTTGTCTCACGCAACGCAGACGGACGATGCACGAAGACGACGAAGTCGATCGATTCTAGAAGACTTGCAAAGGAAACCGAAGAAGAGGTTGCTTTTTCGACAAATAGTGGTCTACTTCAATAGGGCGGCCGAATTTGGAGTCAGATCCAGAATCGAGCTCAGATCCTTTCTACAGATCCGCATCGTTTGGGCATGAGGACGATGAGGCTGATGGCGCCGCCACCGCCGCTGCATCGATGAGCAGTCGAGTCCTGCTGATCTCGAGTCGATGAGACGACACCCAGTCCTCTTTACCACCAGCACCAGCGGCAGCAAAGAGGTGAGTCGATCCGACCGAACAGCACGTTTCATCGAGCGATCGTTCTCTCTCTCGTGCCTCGGTTTTCCCTTTTATTCCCTTCTTCTTCTTCTTCCTCGCTCGCTCAATTGTGGCGCTGCCAGCTTCGGGTGCGCCCCCCGCGACCTTGCCCGCGTCATCCAGGGAATCACGTCTGAACCTCCGCCTCCCTCCGTGCGACAGCGCGAGCCGTCGATCAGTCGCAGGACATTCATATTCTCCGCTCAGCAGGCCCGTCTCATCGAGCTCTCGGGAGAAAGACCCCAAACCATCCCAAATTCGATTCAAATTTCAAAGTTCTGAACGTCTGTAATCATCGCATCGCGATCTACTTCAGATCTCGCTCCGCTTAGGCCCGAAGCCATCGAGGGCAGCGGAATGTGCACATGAATATCGGCCACTAGAGATCTCTCTGCCTCGACGTATCACGCGGTCCGGGCGAGGCACCCAATTGGCATCGTCTCGTGAAGCGGACAAGTGGAGAAGTCCGAAAACAGTAAGGAGTGGGACCCACCGAAGGCGGATGGCGGATGGCGGCAGGGAAGACGTTCGTGGTCACGAAACGAGTTGAAACGAGGGAGGAGGCAGCTACGGACGTGTCTCCGCGAGGGGGGTGTCGCCGGCCGAGGTGGCGCCCCACCACGTCCTGCACGGAACTGCGTCCACCCCATCGCGCACCGTGACGTGGTAAGTCGGACCACGTCCGGCGCGGTCGGTAAGGTTGTCGCCCCTTCCATTCCATTCCATTCCATTCCATTGCAGTCGCTGCTCGACTCCCGTCAGCTGGCCTTGAATCAGCAGCTTAGCTGTTGGCTATTCTCGGGGTTAGTGTTAACGCAATCCGCGAGCGAGTGGATCAGGGCCTTCGTATAAAGCCGGATCCGAGCGTGAGCTTCATTCGATGACAGACGACGAAGACCCAGTGAGTGAGTGAGTGAGTCGAGCTGGTGAGTAAAATCAGCAGCTCCAGTGTACGAAAGAAGCCGGACCCTTTTTCTTCTCTTCACCCTGCATCCCTTCGGCATCGAATGTCCGGGACCCGTCGGCCAGAGACATGAAGGGCTCTGGAGGGAGTGAGGGAGCGAGTGTGGTGGTGGTGGTGGTGGTGGTGGAGAGAAGGTGAGAGGTACAGACATCGTTGCTGCTTCGCCTGAGCCAGGAAAGAGACAGAGCGAACGTTTCACTGTTGGTCCCCATTCCAGGATGTCGGGACCGTGTCGTCTTTCTCGCTGCGGCCAAGCGAGCCACGCCTTCTGCTGCTGCTGCTGCTGCTGCTATTCCAAACTTGGCCGCTGAGCTATAAAACCCGTGACGGCCACCAGTTGCCGTAGCTCGTGAACACCCCTTCCTTCGGGAGAGAGAGAGAGAGAGAGGAAGAGACGGAGACATTGCGCCGATGCAGCTGCAGCTCGGCTGGGCTCGGCTGGACCGTCATGCAGGCTCCCGAGGCGTTGGGGTGTTCAGAGCTCCGGGGCGCCCCGCATGCGTGCGCACAAAAACAACAGCACCACTACCATTACGACTACGACTACCATAACCACCACCGCTCCTCGTCCTCCTCGTCCGACATTGCGCTGCTGGTGGGATTCGTGGGCCGCAACGAGAAGTTGTGTCGAAATTGTGCTCTACCGCTGATGGATCTTGTCGGTGGGTATGGAGGCCGCGGGTGTACTTGCAGCATTCGGTGATTCGGCTGCAGCGCGGGTGGAAGTTTGATCGCTGGGTGGTTGGTCGGTTAGACGAGGCCGCGGCGGCGGCGAGCAGCGGGGTACGATCTTTGGGGTTGCGATTGGAAGCGGAGCGAGGCGAAGGGACGGGAAAGGGAGGGAAAGGAAGAGATTTATATTCGAGCGTCGGCGCCATGGATTCGCCGAGCGGCGGCCTGCGAGAGAGGCTCCTCGTCGACGACGACGACGACGGGGCGCACGAGAATGGAAGCAAAATGAAGCGTGGAGCCGCCGCCGGACCCGAGGGCGTGGAGTATCTAACGGTGGACGAGATGCTGGTCAAATACGTCGGCGAGTTCGGGCGCGCTCAGTTCTGGCACTTCGTTCTCGTCAGCTTGGCGTGGACTGTCGAGGCGCTGCACACCATGTCGATGATTTTCGGAGATCGCGTTCCTGCCTGGCGCTGCGTCGACCAGGGCAGCAGCGACGGAGGAGGAGGAGGAGGATCTTGCACCCCTTCTTCCTCGCTCTGCGATTTGGCTCCCGGGAGCTGGGAATGGGTCGACGGCAAAAGCGCCTCGACGGTGTCTCAATTCAACCTCATCTGCGGAGAGGAATACAAAGTTGGCTTGGCTGGATCCTTGTTCTTCATCGGAGCCCTTTTCGGTAAATGCCCAACTCTCGCTTGCATGAGTCGAATTTTTGAGCTAGATTCCCCCAAGAGTCCACTCGACGAGCTTCACTTCATCTCTCTTTCCGTCGAAAATTCGTGAGCTAGATTTCTTCAAGAATCTGCTCGATGAACCCTTCTCTCGCTCTCTTTCTCTCTCACTCAGACCCCATCATTCCTCTGCATCTGAAAACTAGAGCTGAGCTGAACTAGTCAAAATCTTTCGATCAGTCAGTATCTACTATCTCCTTCCCGGTGCGAAGATGTTCTTCAGTGGCAGTCTCTACATTCTCGGGCCGCCGCCTCCACGCCATTGACGATCGTTTTCGCTGTGGAGCTCGATTCCAAATTGGGCTCGGTAGTACGGAAATCTGTCAAATGTTAAGTCAAGCTGGCACGTTCTGATGAGTCCTGCGTGTAGGCCAGTTCAATGTTGCGATTTATTTGACAGGTTTTTCTGTCGATTTTTTTTAATAATTGATTGCTGGTTTTACAACCAGATATTTACATGAACGACGAAGTATTTAACGTCGATTGACTCTATCCTGAAGGTTGTGAGGGCTTCAAGATGTTCATGCATTTGATGTCCAGCTGGATCCCGTCTTCTTAATGGAGGACGATCAGCGGGTACCTGCTCCATGAGCTTTTGGGGCCATAGGCGGTCCCCAACTACCCACGACTGTGAATCCTGTACTAGTATGTGAGTAGATATTGACTAAATTATTCTCTCACAAATTATCCACAGAGGTACGAGTCAGTCCCCTCAAAGAAGCGTGACCGAGGGTAGATCCAGTTCACCATTTGCGCACAGGCTATTTGGATGTGCTTACGACAGCTTGCGGAGACCGTATCCAGTTAATAATCTAACTCATTTGGCGACGATTCTCGTCGTTGAGGCTCTTGCACCCCTTTTGCAAAACCCTCGGGTCCTGCTCTCCTGACTTTGAACGGTCAGTCGACTGACTGGCCCTCAGATCTTGTATCAACTCGAGTAGTTCTCAATGCGCAAGCCTCACGAGAATTTTTTTTCCTCGAGGACTAGAGAGCTCTTCCTGATCAAATTGTAATCCGGACAATTTATAGACCCTGTAGTCAATGGAGCTGCCTGGACCAAATGCGGCGGGACGAAGTTTAGTTAAATGACTTTCTGAGCTGAACATTCTCCTGTTGCGTGAACGTCTGAGTGCGTGCATTCCAGCAATCGATCCATGGACCTGAGGATCCGACCGACCGACCGATCGATCGATCGATCGCCGTCGGTCAGCACTGCCAGAACTTCGATCGAATGTCGATTGCCATTCCCAATTTACGGCTCGCAGATTTTCGGGATGTAATTTGGCTTGTCGCTCTCGGGGAACTGACGAGCTTGTGGGGACAATGATTCAGGGGCGGGGACGTACGGGAGTCTGTCGGACTCGCTGCTGGGGCGCAAGGGGACGCTGGCGATGTGCTGCATGCTGACGGTGGCGCTGGGCATGCTGACGTCACTGGTGCCCAACTACTGGCTCTACGCCGCGGCCCGATTCGTGACGGGCCTGAACTCGAGCGGCATCGGGCTCTGCTGCTTCGTGCTGGGCACGGAGATCGTGGGGCCGAACAAGCGCGGGACGGTGGGCATGTCGGCCTTCTACTTCTTCTCGCTCGGGATCATGATCCTCCCGCTCTTCGACATGTTCACCTCGTCGTGGCGCGAGCTCTACTTCACCACCTCCATCCCGGGCGCGCTTTACTGCGTCGTCGTGCTCCCCTTCGTCTGGGAGTCCCCTCGTTGGTACCTCGTCAAGGGTCGAACTGCGGACGCCATGACCGTTCTCCGAGCCTTCGCCCGGCGCAACGGCAACGCGGTTCCCGAGAACGTCTACCTCGTCGCCCACTCGCTCGACGGGGCCGCCGACGGCGACGAGGAGGCGCGCGCCGGTCTGGACCCCGCGTCGCCGCTCTCCGTCTCCACGCGCCCCGGCGGCAAGGAGTACCGGGCCGGGGACTCGTGCGCCGTGGTCGTCAGCCCTCGGATCGCCATGCGCACCGACTCCGGAGCGTCGATCCTGGCCGGGGGCGCCTTCCCGGACGAGAAACGCATCGGCGAGAGCCCATCGGAGTTCGGCGGCACGCTGCTCGACATCTTCCGGTACGGCGAGACGCGGTGGCGGATGGTGCTCATGGTGTGCATCTGGTTCTTCATCGGCGTCTGCTACTACGGCATCAGCCTCAACGTGGTGAACCTCGGGTTCAACCTGCACGTCAGCGTGTTCCTGAACGGGCTCGTGGAGCTGCCCGTGTACACGCTGACCGCCCTTCTGCTGGGCAGGCTGGGCAGGAAGTTCATGCTGGTCGCGGCCCTGTCGGCCGCTGGACTGTGCTGCCTGGCGGGGAGCTTCGCCTTCGGGAATGTGCCCGGCAACGGGAGCTCGGCCGATACCAACAGCCTGGACTTGGGGAGGGTGTTCTCTGGCGACGGCGACGGCAGCGACTACTCGGCCCTGCTGAGGCTGTTTTGCGGCATCGTCGGCATCTTCGGCACCGCGGGCGCCTACAACCTGGTGTACATTTACACCATGGAGCTGTTCCCTACCGTGGTGCGGAATGCTGCCCTCGGGCTCGCCACGCAAGCGGGCAGCATCGGATCCGTGGTGGCGCCCGTCGTCGCGGTGATCGGCAGATCGAGTCCGTCGCTTCCGTTCGTGGTGTTCGGGTTCTTGTCTATCGTCGGCGCATTGTTGGCCACCCGGCTGCCCGAGACCAAGGACCAGGGTCTGCATGAAACCATGGAGGGAATGGAGAGAACGGAGAGTGTAAAAATCGCAGCAGCTGCTGCAGCAGCTGCTTCAACAGGCAATGGCAATGGCAGTGCCGTTCAGTCGTCATGACTAGGCCGAGCATGGATATAGGTTTCGATGTAGAGAGCAGCCAACTTAGATCCTCGTTAGATGGAGTTAGAATTGTATTTTTCATGTCCACGAATTGGCAGAATTTTTCGATGGACAATCCTTAGACTTGCTGCTGCTCGCGAGGCTGGAATCTGCTTCTCATGCAGAGAGGCCAAGAATTGCCGCGAGGATTACTTGATGATAGTTTCGGCCCTAAGGCTTCAATGTGTACTTTCTAGGCCTCAGACTTCTCCCTTAGGTAGGTAGATAGGACTGGAGTGTGAGTGCGAGGTAGTTGCAGCTTGTAAAATTTAGACTACTTGCCTGTCTATTCTACAGCCATGAAATTTTTTCTGATAGTCTTGTTTAAAATATGCGTATGGGATTGTACATAAGTACAAAACTTCTCACGTCTCCGTGTCATGAATTGTGGGCACTGAGGAGGGAGTGACATCATCTGCAACGTGCAGGACTGATATATGTCTTTCGGACTGAACCTGAGCAATCCTCAACGGAATTTTCTTTCGAAATTCTTACAGAACGTTTTTTATATACATTCCCACTGGACGTCAGTCCTGTAGATCAACTGCCGTCTCAGATGTGAGTGGTCCCATCTCTCGCTGGGACCCCACGCCTTTCCCAGACCTTTTACAAACATCTCCGCAGATTATGTCAAATTCATCACTGGTCAAGCTCACTACCCTCTGCATTTCCTTGCGTTCTCTGCAGTAGCGTCAGTTGTACGAGACTAAACTGGCTTCTGTCTAGTACTGACGTACATAAACTCCGATGCCGAGGAATGATCTCGCAGGATACTTTCACGTCAAGATTGTTGAAACCTTGGGACAAGTAACATGATATTGTAGCCAATCAGAGTCAACGTTGAACAGGTATGTGGATTCGTCAGCTCTTGCTAGAAGCAAATGTGTCAAACTCGTCCCGCATCTCGGCTACACTTGTTGAAGAAAGCGAGTAATGAGTGGTGTATGGTGGACGTGATTAGGAATGTTACCGACAATGTGGTTTTCTCGCAAAAATCGTGATTCCTCGTTACACACACTGTCTCACGATGTACGGCCGACTTGATGACGGATGCTGTAAATTGAGAGCTGCCAACCAATCAACCTCTTGAAAATTTGCAGATTCGTTTATTCCATTGATCGCAAGTCTCAAAACATATTTTAACCTCTTGATTCTGGGAATCTCTCTGGATAGTACATTCAAAACAGTGGCTGGACCTTCGATAGCTGATCTTATCAACATCCCGCAGTTTTCTCTAGATGATGTCCTGTCTCTCCCCTAGCACCGTTCAGAAATGTACAAAAAAATAGTGCACGTCTTCCCACCTTTCACGAAAGTGTAATCAAAGCCAAATGACGGAAAGGTAAGATGCATAGAGTCGACAGGCCACATCATTCTCCCAGTCTCCTGCAGCAGTACATTATGTACTTAAAAATACGCCGAAATCATCCGAGTGTCAAGGTCAATCGAACCAAGTAGAGAGAGAAATTTAGGAACTCCATATGAGCCAAGCTGGATCTCTCTGCATCGCCTCGAGTACAGAGTTCTGCCTCTATCCGAGGACAGTCTCAACCCACTCACTCAGTGTGTATTCTGACCACTGTCTGATGATCCTGCAAGCTTCAAACCAGGCCTTCCACATACGAGGAATGAAGGCTCGGTACCACCGTAAAGTCAAAGCTCTGTGATTGTACAAACACCTACAAGATAGTGAAGTATTAAAGCAACAGTCGTACATGGATGAAGCCAAACGGGTAGCTGGACTAGACCCCAACACCATTACAACTGGAAATTCGTCCTACAAAACATAATCTAGTGCATTCTGCACTTCAGACCGATAGGCAAGGATTTTTATATCCATGTTGCCCCACCTTTGTTTATCCTAAGTTTCTGTTGACATGTGAAATCATGTGATCTCGTTACATGCCCATATACCTAAGATGTTGGACGGTGCCGCTGCACTTGCCGACAATCCAAGAGATGGGTAATCTCAGGGGCCCCATGTACTATAGCCAAATGGATGGGAAGACCCATCAAGCCCGTAGAAGGGGAAATATTAAATTGTGCACCTAAAATATCTGAATGATCTGGACCAAAAAGTATATAATGAACACACCATCCCAAAAATCATGAACTAACGTCAGTCTTCTGCTATTTTTAGTGTTTGCTAGTTATCTTTATAGAACATTATTAAATCTGGAGATGTAAAATTGTCCTCTACATAGGATATCGAAAGAGCTCCATGTGTAGTCACTTCCTCGCCATCATGGCAGATGGTGATCCTCGGCGACTGCCTGATTGCCGAGGACCATAGTCAACGAGTCGGTTTTTATACTCACAAATATATTCTAATCATTCGGATGGGAATGAATGAGAAGCGACAACGGGCCAGACTGCGGACATGGGGCCAAGGGGCTACCTGCTGCCGCCGCTGTGGTAACATTCATCGTAGTCTCACAGCCGCTGAGTTGTGCAGACACGAAGGGCTCGGGGGAAGCTCATCTTTCACTTGTTCGGTAGATCGGTGTAGACAATGCTCGAGGAGGATTACTGCGCGAACACCCATTTGGACGGACGAGTCTGTCGAATGCACGCCGAATGGAGAGAATGCAAAGAGGGAGATGTCATCAGGTACAGATATATGTTTTCCCCGGAGCCCCAGTGACTGATTGCTCTGACGGTAGAGGCATGCGTCATCAGATCCGATCAGGTGCATGTCAGGCTGCTTGACTTCGTAAAGTGAAAAGCAGAGGCTGGCGTGCTCGTGTTGCAGTCTGGCACGCAGGCAGCCACCATTCACCTTCCTGCTATCGCTCCTCACTTAGAGTTTAGACTCCATGCAGAAACTGTATTATAAACCTTCAATCGGATTACTGTCAGCCTTGTTTGCATCATCCTTCTAAAATACAACAATTCTGATGAGAGATCAGATGGGCGGAAGATAGCAGGTGTATACATTCACACTCATGACGGTAATTACTGTGTCTCCTAAAATAACTGAGAGCTTTGTATAAGTGTTGGCCACTTTTCTATATCGGTACGTGTAGTTCTGAGACAGGCTTACTTTCAAGCAGGGCATTGAATTTTGGGGAAAACTTAAAACTAGTTCTCTGGCTAAAAGAGTAGTTTTGTATGCTAAATGGGCTTTCAAAAATCACTGTAAGAATTTATCAATCACAAAAAAAACTGTGTGAACCAGTTACAATAGATTCACCCCGAATCACGCACTTTTGTTACTGAGATTTAAATTAATAGTAAATTCGCATAACACTTTATTTAGTTTGCTCACATGAACTAGGAATTGCTCCTAAGTCGTGGCTCGAACCCGTATTAGAGTAAAGTTGAAGCGCTTAATGATTAGTGTGGTCGTCATCTTGTTGGTCGGTTCCCAAAATTTGGCCTTTCCAATCATACACAACATTTGGCCTACACTAGTTACGATCATGAGGGTAGTTATCTCTCATAGACAGGGTTATTTGGAACACAGGATGCGCAAAGTTTATCTCATAGAGTGAGATATCCATCTCACTTATGGTGGCGGAAGATAGGGAGGAAAGCTCTCGGACCAATCCCCCTCGGAAAGCTCATTCTCGAAAGTCGTTTGAAAGTGTTAGAACAAATCATTGGCAGTGGACCACACGACGAAAGTTCTGACGACAAGAAGTCTATAGCCATGGAGCTGAGCCAGCTGACGCTAGCAAGGGGACAAAAAGCGCGAGTGTGCAGCTCTGACACCGATCTCGAGCTTTTCGGGGAGGTTGAAGAGATTCAGACAGGTTGGGTGCAACTATCAAGTCCATGAAAAATCCCGAGTGAGTGAGTAACCTGGCTGAAGGTCCCTGAGAATATAGCGGATGCTCATGCGATTTTTGCACCACAAATCCGCAATTGGGGGTTGCTATATGGATATGATCGGGAGAGGCAAAGACGTGTTTTCTTTCAGATCAGATGACATCTGGATCCGATATATTTGATGTTGCTCACGAGGTACATGGGATTCAGAAGAAGATTTCAAGAGGATATAGTCCCATCCGCTTTATGCCTCCATGAATGTTGAGCCACAATGTCTCCAGGTTATGACATGCTCCAAACCATCGAAAGATAAGTAGCAACCAGTGACCATCCATATATCTAGTGCTGGCCATCCTGACGAAAATTGTCGAGGCCCGCGAGATCCACAAAAGTACAGCAGAAGGGACAAGTGCAGAGACGGCACACGGATGGTCAATAACCATCAGTCACAAGCAAGCTCGAGAATTAGAAATTAAAGACGGCGTGCTCATCAGTTGGAAACGTGATGCGCATGAACGATAAGCACAGATATAAGAGCGAAAGGGGCGAGGAGGACTCGGGCTATTGAGAATAGGTCAGTCTGAAAGCCAGATAAGGTAACCTGAGAGGATTCTTGAGAGGTTCCATCATCTGCCAAAAGATCAACCTTTAATCGTGAAGAAATGAAGAAAGTCCAGTTCCTCGCCTTCCTTCATTGACAGCTCCAAAAGCCAGAAAATCAAAACCTTATGGCGGCAAGTCGCTGTCACCTCTCGACCATGATTTTTCTATTCTGGACTCTCACGCGCATGCAGAGGCTCCTGCTCTGCCGACGACGATGCTTTACGATGGCCTCTTCATTAAGAACTATCCAACTCTCTGAATTCTCTCTTCTTGATCCGTGCATCATTCATTCATTCATCTCCCTGGACTTAAAATTGCATTTCATGCATCTCTTTTGATCAATACGTGGGCTTTCAAGTTCTCGTTGTCATTTGATGCAAAAGCTGATCCCCTTCGACGTCATATCCTTTTCCACGCATGGCCTAGCGCCATCTTTCTTTCGTCCACTGGGTCTTTCATGTTCATGGGCTGCAGACAGCACGTGGTTCCCCACCGAAGCTCCCGGTTGCAATGTTGCCGAACGAACGGCCCAATGGGTGCAAATGCCATTTTTCCTGAGAAATCTATCGATCGATTGCATGACATGCGATCTTCCCGTATGAGAATCTGGAAACCTTTTCTACAAGAAAGAAAGCAAATCTCTCTCTCTGTCGATGGAGGTCTGGCCTGTGGGGGTCAGCAACCGAGCAAAGTCGGTATGGGCCAGGCCACGGGACCACCAATACTACAATTTGAATATTCTATCGGTTGATTAAAGTGCGATTGAAATATGACTCTTAAACACGGCTACAAATTATCGAATTTTGATTGTTTTCACAACAATATGTCATAAAGTGTTTTGTATAGATAATCTGATTTGTCATATTTCAAATCTATCAGATTCATAAAATATAAAAATTTATTTATTACATTTTAGACTAAATTTCATGAAACGTTTACTACATGAAAAATATTTTATCT